TTTTGCTTGACAGAGAAATGAAATAGAAAAAAATTAAGAGAGTATATTTCATTGAATTGTTTCAATAGAGCATTTTTAAGAGTCTCATGCTGTACCGACTGAGCTAGCCGGGCGGGCTCAATAGAGCATTTTTAGATTGAGATTGCTCACCGAATGTCCAGCAAGTAAAAGAAAAAAGTACCAAACTGAGGCATAGTGTTAAAACATTTCAGAACACTGGGATAAAGAGAAAGTAGTAAGTAAAGTTTGGAAAGAGAAAAAAATAAAAAAACTGATCACATAGGGATCAAAAGTACAGTACACTTCTCAAGAGCAGCAGTGGAAGCAAAATGATACTGGAGTGGCAACTTTAAGATTTAATATTCTGAGCAAAAATACTTGTTCTAAACTTGAATTCTACAATCAGCCAAAGTGTCCATTAAGCTTTGGATAAAATAAAGACAGTTTGGTCTGGAATGTGCTCTAGGCTCCAGTCAAGCAGAAAGCAGGAGAGAAAACACTGTTCTGAATATAGGAGTTAAACCAAGAAAAAAACCAAATACAGGATACAGAAGACAGGGACTCCAGCAACAGAGGAAAGGGAAGATGGATATCAGAATGAAGTTTCTGGGGTAGACCTAACTAGCATCCAGCCTGTCGACTTGGGCAGAAGATCTGAGGCCTGCAGGAAGGCTGTAGCCAGGGTGGACTTAATAGCTAAACAGAATTTAGAGAATTTTAAACCTTCTGTTGAGGATTTCAAGAATTCATCACAAGTATAGATAGATATTAGTTAAAGGGAAAAATAAGTTTATTATTAATTTAAAGAAGACCAAATATAATACCAGAAAAAAGTCATTGTAATAGCATAACACTTAGTTCATAGTCAATATTACATGGTTATAATAATTTAAATTCTAAATATTAATATAACCAATGTTTCTGAAGTCAATATGCTGAAAGGACAAAAAAAAAAGTGGAGGTGAGAAGGTGGGGAAGGGAGTATAAGTGGGTCAAATCATCATCTTCCAAAATGAGAAGTCAAAATAATGTATAAGGCTGCAGAATCAGCACATAGAAATATGGAAATAAATTCCTAAAAAGATAAAACAGGCTTACAGGAATGTTCAAAGAAGAGAAATGTGTGTATGTGTGTGTGTGTGTGTGTGTGTGCTGGGAGGACGGGAGGCAGGAAGATACTTCTGTATTTCATTATAAGTTTTGTAATTCTTCCAATGTCTATTAGGAATGTAACATAGAAAATCTTTTTTTATGTATTATTTTGATAAACAATTAAAAATCATTTGGAAAAAAATTGTTATTTTTGGTTGTTTTCTAATGACAGTTAAATTTTGGATAACAGATATCCCAAACCTACCCATAATTAGAAATGTAATTATGTAAGTCAACTCTAGTTTCTGTCTTCAGGATCTTTAGAATTTAATTGACATTTGTAAATTGCTAGGAAGTATTCTTTATGAAGACATCTAGACTGTGCCACAGATTTTAGTGTCTATTTACACCATGATGCCTACTTCTAATTTTTAGATTTGGTACTGCCACTTAACTAGGATGCTATTTTATAGCCAACAAATATTAAAGAAGAACAGAATAAATGATTCATAGAGAATGGCACTGTAACATTTTGAAAATTAAGTTACGCTAATTATGTCTTTGTCTAAAGGGCCGATTTTAAAAGCATAAGTTGCAATTTTCAACCTAAAAAAATACCTTCTAAGTCCAAGACCACTTAATAAAGAATCAAAACTTACAGATGGCTATTGCACTGACAAAGACCCTTTATCCCTTTCATTGGTGTCCTTGCCATTTATAATGGAATTGTATTTTTGAATAATTAAATATCATCAGTTTTTTTTCTCTGTATTACATAAATTAAAGACTGAGTGGCAAAGGACATTTATAAACTACCTGTAGCTGGAAGAGTACAGAGTGGTTCTAGTAGCCAGAATTTTTAAGGCTGAATTGCTGCTACATGAAAACATAATTGAGAAGGAAGAGGGATAAAATGTAACCAGTTTTTCTTTTATGAACCTTAGATCAGAAATGATAGTATCAAAGAAAGAAAGAAAGAAAGAAAGAAAGAAAGAAAGAAAGAAAGAAAGAAAGAAAGAAAGAGAAAAAGAAAAGAAAGAAAAAGAAAGAAAGAAAAGAAAGAAAAGAAAGAAAAGAAAGAAAGAAAGAATA